CAATTTTAGCCTCAGCTTTTCTCTGGACCACTTCACTTTGTTTGCCACCTCATCCTGCAGTCAGAACTTGCTGTCCTTGCAACCTTTCAGGGTGACCAAAAATGAGAGAGGCCTCTGCTCCAGCACCCACAAGGGCCTGATCCATCTGACAGGATCCATTTTTCCAGGGAATTCAAAGCTCCACCTGAGGACCAGGGTCTTTTCTCACCCATCCCTGTGCTGCAGCTTGGCCTCCATCTCACTGTGCTTTCAGTTCCCTCCATGGTTGAACACTGGCAGCCCTGGCCCTGGGCGGAGCTCGGCATCCTGATCCCATCCCTCCTGGCCCCCGGAACCGCTGACTCAGCAATGGGGGGCCCTCCATTGCCAAGGGCACGGGCCCGTCGGGGCTCACGGGGGGAGCAGGAGGGCGAAGGCTCCAGCCCTGCTGCTACAACCTTCCACCACTACAGCCAACAGAGGAGCCTCTCCAGCCCTGCCTCCCAAGGCATCCTCAACAAACCCAGCCCAGCTCCACAGGACAAACTGCTCCCTGTCTGCCCAGGCCAGTCTAATCCCAGAGGCTCCCAGGTCATGCAAAACAACTGCCCAGGAGATCAGAGACCCCAGTCCATCTCTTCCTAGCACAGGTTTGGGTTAGTTTGGCAAACAGACCAACTGAGGAATTCCCCAATGTTTTCCCAGTTTGACCCCTGTCACACCAATCACCTTAACACTGCCAGTCCTTCATTCTCCCTCTCTTGGGTTAAGGACTGAGCAAGTTGGACCTGTGTCTGAGCAGGACATGTGCAAACCAAATGCGGGGGACTGGAACACACACCTGGCACTCCTGCAGCTCTCACAGTCACATTCCAGAGAAAACAGCCAATTGCACCCTCACTGCTCATTTCTTAATCCCAATCCCACACTTCTTTGGCACTTGGAGCACCACTTTTAGAACCCAATTACAGCCCATTAGAGAGCTCCCTGTCTAGCAGGGACAGGGACCCCTGGGATACTCTCAGCACTGCCTGAATCCATGGCAGGGACCTTGCTTTGAGCTCCCCAGGGCCGGGCACCCCGAGGATCTCCCCGAATAATCCTTTCGGTGCGCGCTGGAGTCCTCGGGGTGCCCCAACCCGGGGGGCACCAACAGCACTGTCCCTCCAGGGGGCCAATTTGGTCCTAAACTGCAGGGGGATCTTGCCTGTGTCCCAGACTGGTCCGGAGATCTGAGGCCCTTCCCGAGAAAACCTCGGTGCCGGCGTGAAGGGCCAGAGATCCCTTGGAGCCACGGGAGAGCAGGCACAGAGTCCCTCCTGGGGGGCAATTTGCCTGCCTGAAAACAGCTCTTCAAAGAAGCCTCTAAGACTCAGTTGGTGACTTTTAGAAGCCAGGCATTCCTTGCTTACAACACCCTGCCATGATCCCAGCCCCACGGGGGTCCTGGCAATCCGCTCCCAAAGGGCACACAGAGGGGTCTCCACTGCAGCTGATGGGAGGGTTCATTTTCCTTCCCTGCATTCCTGTTCCACATTCAGGACAATCCCAACACTTATCACCATACACACCTACCCTTAGAAGGTTTCCAAGGGGCTTCACCGAGGGCCTTCCCAGGTCTGCTCTGTCTGGAGCCCTCCAAGTCCTCAGTGCCTGCCTGAGGAACCTCAACACAACTCACCTGCTTACACAGCAACTTGGTGCTGCTTGCCTGCTGCCTCACTTCCCTTCTTCCTTCTTTCTTCACCTCCCTTGCTTGGTCCCTTTCAATCCCTGGGTTCAGCTCTGTGCACTTTCCAGGCTCCATCCCACTGCAAAAGGATTAGCCCTTGTTACATCTCAACACTCAGGTATGATTCCCCCTTTTTTCTTAACACTGGGCCATTAGGCCAGGGTCTCATTATTTAAAGCACACTTTGACTCCTCAGTGACAACAACAGCTACAGCCCTGAATCCTAACACAGGCTGAGACACAAACACGGATGGGAACTCTTAAGGATCCACTTTGTCCTGCTCACCAATCAAAAGGAGCTTTCTGAACTCAAGAATAACAGACCCCAGGTCCTTTTACTGCAACTTTACCTGCTATAAATGTGACCCACAAGACCTGCAAAGGCCCTTCCCACTTCACCTGCAGGGCTGGCAGTGCCACCACTGGACACGGCCCCAGTGGCCGGGCAGGAACGGAGGGGCTGGGGCGTCCAATCCATCGGCCCAGGCGGCACCAGGAGTTCCTGCAGTTCCTGAGGGGAGAGCCTCAAGCCAACAAAGGATTAGGAAGAATATTTTAAACTTCAATGTGTCTATCTCCTGGAATATGGGGACTTTGATAAGTCCTACTGGTGCAACAAGGACACACTCAAGGCTATCTATTCAAAGGATCTACCAGCACTCAAAAGCTATCACTGTCCTTCTGTCAGGGGGAACGCAGCAAACTCTCTTTGCCAGGAGCCTCCAGGAGGACTTCCAGCTTTTGGGGCTCCTTTTAACCATTTTTCCCATAACTGGAGCTGGGACTATCACCTGCCCTACAGGGGGAACAGCCCACAAAGTTCACCATCAGGGATGCCATTAACTGAAAGTCCCTTCTCAGGGGGTCACTGCACACCTTGGCCTTTGTTTGCCCTCCCCACCAAAGATGCTTCCAACAGTTCTGACACATCTGGCAGACCCAGAGCTCTCCTCAGGGAATGCTTCAGCTGCTTAAAGGCTGCCCTTGCCCCATCTATTCAAAAAGTCGCCATAACAGTCTTACCACACATCCCGAGGGAGCAATGCAGAGTCCAGCCCGTCCCACCATTGCCAGCAAGGCAGTTCATGGGCTGTCTGGGGCTCAGGGAGGAGTCACGGGGCTTCTCTTCTTCCTGCCTGCTTGCCCCATTTTCTCCTGCAAAAGCAAAGCTTTCTTGGCTTTCCTTGCTCAAGGAGATGCAAAGGCCATCTTTTAAATCCAATACTGGAAACTCCTCCAGGTTGTCATTCAAGGTGCTTCTCTCAGGTCCTGCACTAATCAATCATCTTGTCCACTGGTTTTCTTGGCAGGTTCTTGCATTCACGTCCTACAAGCAAACCAGGAGGAGCCAATTTAGCTGTTCCTGCAACCAATCCAGTCTGGCATTCTGATTTTAAAGGATACTGGGTTGGCCTTACCCATAGAGATCCCACATCAGGGGTAATACCTACAGGTTCTGCCCTCTTCCACTCTCCTGCAGCTCCACTGGCCCACACCACAGGAACAACTGCAGCTGCCACTTCAGTCAGGGCCTTGCTGCTGACAGGAGTTATTCCCTGCACAACAAGAGCTGCTGCTTGGACACATTTAGTTTCAGCAATTACAGTGTCAAGAGCCCCAGTTTTCAATTCCATTTCTGCCTCAACTTTTCCAGTCCATCTCTTCCTAGCAGAGGTTTGGGTGAGTTTGGCAAAGAGACAAACTGAGGAATTCCCCAATGTTTTCCCAGTTTGACCCCTGTCACACCAATCACCTTAACACTGCCAGTCCATAATTCTCATTCTGCTGTGTTCAGGACTGAGGAAATTGTACTTGTGTCTGACCAGAACATGTGCAAACCAAATGCTGGGGACTGGAACACACACCCTGCACTCCTGCAGCTCTTACAGTCACATTCCAGAGAAAACAGCCAATTGAATCCTCACTGCTCATTTCTTAATCCCAATCCCACACTTCTTTGGCACTTGGAGCACCACTTTTAGAACCCAATTACAGCCCATTAGAGAGCTCCCTGTCTAGCAGGGACAGGGACCCCTGGGATACTCTCAGCACTGCCTGAATCCATGGCAGGGACCTTGCTTTGAGCTCCCCAGGGCCGGGCACCCCGAGGATCTCCCCGAATAATCCTTTCGGTGCGCGCTGGAGTCCTCGGGGTGCCCCAACCCGGGGGGCACCAACAGCACTGTCCCTCCAGGGGGCCCAATTTGGTCCCAAAATGCAGGGGGATCTTGCCTGTGTCCCAGACTGGTCCGGGGATCTGAGGCCCTTCCCGAGAAAATCTCAGTGCCGGCGTGAAGGGCCAGAGATCCCTTGGAGCCACGGGAGAGCAGGCACAGAGTCCCTCCTGCAGGGCCAATTCTGCTGCCTGAAAACAGCTCTTCAAAGAAGCCTCTAAGATTCAGCTGGTGAGGTTTAGAAGCCAGGCAACCTTTTATTCCTATGCTCTTGAATCATTCCAGCCCGCCAGGTGTCCTGGCAATCAGCTCCCAAAGGGCACACAGAGCTATCTCCACTGCACCTGATATGGCAGCATTACAGGAGGATTCATTTTTGTTCTCTACATTCCTGTTCCACATTCAGGGCATTTTCCAACACTTACTACCATACACACCTACCCTTAGAAGGTTTCCAAGGGGCTTCAACGAGGGCCTTCACAGCTCTGCTCTGTCTGGAGCCCTCAAAGTTCTCAGTGCCTGCCTTAGGAATTTCAAGATAACTCACCTGCTGACACAGGCACTTGGTGCTGCTTGGCTGCTGCCTCACTTCCCTTCTTCCTTCTTTCTTCACCTCCCTTGGTTGGTCCCTGTCACGACGAGGGAAGAAAGTGACACTCAATATGAGAATCAGCAACCTTCGTTTATTGATCATTGCTAACAGCTTAATATATGCTTTATAATTAGCTCATACATATTGCAAAAGCTAAGCTCACTATTGGCTCTGGCTTAAATGTTGATTCCGCCTCTTAGTCCTTTCTTGTGTTGACACAGGTGGCTCTCAGTTGCCTTTGTTTTGCTAATCACAACAACCTGTTTACCAGCCAACTAGCAGGCACAAAGACACTGTAGCTTCCCTACCTCAGATTTTCTCACGGCCCAGGCAAGTCCTGCTCTATAGCCAATTCCTTACAGGTCCCTTTAAATCCCTTGGCTCAGCTCTGTGCAGTTTCCAGGCTACATCCCACTGCAAAAAGGATTAGCTCTTGTTACATCTCAACACTCACATATCATTCCCACTTTTTTCCTGACACTTGGCCATTAGACCAGTGTCTTATGATTTAAAGCAGAGTTTGACTTCCTCAGTGACAACAACAGCTACAGCCCTGAATCCTAACACAGGCTGAGACACAAACACGGATGGGAACTCTGAAGGATCCACTTTGTTCTGCTCACCAACCAAAAGGAGCTTTCCTAACTCAGGAATAACAGACCCCAGGTCCTTTTTCTGCAACTTTACCTGCTATAAATGTGACCCACAAGACCTGCAAAGGCCCTTCCCACTTCACCTGCAGGGCTGGCAGTGCCACCACTGGACACGGCCCCAGTGGCTGGGCAGGAACGGAGGGGCTGGGGCGTCCAATCCATCGGCCCAGGCGGCACCAGGAGTTCCTGCAGTTCCTGAGGGGAGAGCCTCAAGCCAACAAAGGATTATGGAAATCACTTTAAACTTCAATAGGTATATCTCCTGGAATATGGGGACTTGGACAAGGCCTACTGGTGCAACAAGGACACACTCAAGGCTATCTATTAAAAGCATCTACCAGCACTCAAAAGCTGTCACTATCCTTCTTTCAGGGGCAACTCAGGAAACTCTGTTGGCCAAAAGCCTCCAGGAGGATTTCCAGCTTTCGGGGCTCTCTTTTAACCATTTTGCCCATCGCTGTAGCCGGGACTATCACCTGCCCTACAGGATGAACAGCCCACAAAGTTCACTTGCAGGGATGCCATTAACTCAAAGTCCCTTGTTGGGGGGTCACTGCACACCTTGTCCTTTGTTTGCCCTCCCCAGCAAAGATGCTTCCAACAGTTCTGACACATCTGGCAGATCCAGAGCTCTCCTCAGGGAATGCTTTAGCTGCTTAAAGGCTGCCCTTGCACAGTCGAGCCAAGGCAGCAAATGCTTACAGCCTGTTGGAAAAGTTGCCATAACAGTTTTACCACGCATCCAGAGGGAGCAATCCAGAGTCCACCCCATCCTACCATTCCCAGGAAGGCAGTTCATGGGCTGTCTGGGGCTCAGGGAGGAGTCAGGTGGCTTATTTTCTTCCCTTCCCCTTTCCAGATTTTCTCCTTCAAAGGCAAAGATTTCTTGGCTTTCCTTGCTCAAGGAGATGCAGCAAAGGCCATCTTTTCAATCCAATACTGGAAACTCCTCGAGATTGTCATTCCAGGTGGTTCTCTCAGGTCCTGCACTCATCAATCATCTTGGCCATTACTTTTCTTGGCAGGTTCTTGCATTCACATCCTACAAGCAAACCAGGATGAGCCAATTTAGCTGTTACTGCAACCAATCCAAGCTGGCATTCTCATTTTAAAGGATACTGGCTTTGCCTTACCCATAGAGATCCCACATCAGGGGTAATACCTACAGGTTCTGCCCTCTTCCACTCTCCTGGAACTCCACTGGCCCACACCACAGGAACCACTGCAGCTGCCACTTCAGTCGGGACCTTGCTGCTGACAGGAGTTATTCCCTGCACAACAAGAGCTGCTGCTTTGACACATTTAGTTCCAGCAATTACTGTTTCAATATCCCCAGTTTTCAATTTCATTTCTGCCTCAACTTTTCTACTCAATCTCTTCCTAGCACAGGTTTGGGTGAGTTTGGCCAACAGACAAACTGAGGAATTCCCCAATGTTTTCCCAGTTTAACCCCTGTCACACCAATCACCTTAACACTGCCAGTCCTTAATTCTCCTTCTCTTGTGTTAAGGACTGAGGAAGTTGGACCTGTGTCTGACCAGGACATGTGCAAACCAAATGCTGGGGACTGGAACACACACCTGGCACTCCTGCAGCTCTCACAGTCACATTCCAGAGAAAATAGCCAATTGGACCCTCACTGCTCATTTCTTAATCCCAATCCCACACTTGTTTGGCACTTGGAGCACCGCTTTTAGAACCCAATTACAGCCCATTAGAGAGCTCCCTGTCTAGCAGGGACAGGGACCCCTGGGATACTCTCAGCAATGCCTGAATCCATGGCAGGGACCTTGCTTTGAGCTCCCCAGGGCCGGGCACCCCGAGGATCTCCCCGAATAATCCTTTCGGTGCGCGCTGGAGTCCTCGGGGTGCCCCAACCCGGGGGGCACCAACAGCACTGTCCCTCCAGGGGGCCCAATTTGGTCCCAAAATGCAGGGGGATCTTGCCTGTGTCCCAGACTGGTCCGGGGATCTGAGGCCCTTCCCGAGAAAATCTCGGTGCCGGCGTGAAGGCCCAGAGATCCCTTGGAGCCACGGGAGAGCAGGCACAGAGTCCCTCCTGCAGGGCCAATTCTGCTGCCTGAACTCAGCTCTTCAAAGAAGCCTCTAAGACTCAGTTGGTGAGTTTTAGAAGCCAGGCATTCCTACACACTATGAGATATTTTAAAAGCTTACTGAGTGAAAAAACATAAAGCTTTTATCAGTGACATCTGATCTCAAACAGACAGCTCCTTTCTCCTTTCAGTACAAAATTATTTCCATGGAATCATTTAATAGGAAGTGCCCAGGAACCCCAGACTGTGCTTTCCAGAACAGAAAATAAACAGAGGGAAGGAGCTTTGCACGAGTGTAACATACTCCAGAACACACCTGACTTTAGTTTTACTCCTTATGTTCAAATATAGCAGAAGACAAACACTCCAGCAGGAGAGCTGGCACATTACCCATGGTACCCTGAAAGTCCACCTTAAGAGAGCTGGAGAAAAATCGCAGTTGTGCCAGTCCCTTTTGCCTGCAGATGGCTGGGGATCCTCTCCATCCACCTCATGCTCTCCCAACAGCAGAAAGGGTGACCTCGGGGACATGGTGGCACTCGACATCCTGCTGAGAGAGCAAGGAAACCTTTAGCAGAAAGGGGAGTTGGAATCTAAAACTTCCTTTCCTGGGAGCTTTGGGAAGCCTGCAACCAAGAGGGGCAAAATTTGCAGCTCCTTTGGGGCAGGTGTCAACAGAGGCCAACAGAGCTTTCACCTTTTTCAGACAACTGTGCCCCTTTTGGCTCCCTGGCAGCTCCAATGGCACCAGAACCCCCTTCCAGCACACCCACGGCTGTCACACACAGGCACCCACACACCTTTGCTCCAGCCCACACGGGGCCAACATTTCCTCACCCTGCACATCCCAAGGGGAGTCTTTGTGCTGGAGAGCACAGCAACCCCCCTGTCCTCACAAACTGCCTCCCTGCAAAAAAAGGAATCATTTCTCCTGGACACTTGGCCCACAGTCAAGGGCTTTTCAAATGTGCTCAGGGTCCCTCCCAGCTTCTGCCTGTCCTTGCATTTCAAGGCATGGGCATGTTTCAGCAGCAGAACCCAGCTCCTCACGGGCAGTAGAAGCCCTGCTCTTACCTGGACAGACTCCCGGGCTCGGCACAGCTGTGGCTCATGGAGCAGCTTCCCAAGGCCCTTCTCTCTCCCGGCAGGAAGCACAACTCGCCTCCACTCCCCAGCACCAGGGGAAACCACGAGCCAGGCTGCAAATTGACACAGAACGAGCAAAAAGCATTAATGCAGCACCAAAAAAAACCAAGCTGAAGCAGTCTTTGCCTCCCTGCACAGGGAAAGGGGTTGGAATTGCAAAGCAAAACTTGAGACACCCAGAGAGCACCAGCCCCGCAGTCCTGCCACGGCTCCCCCAGGGTCACCCGGCAGGGAAGGGCTTTACCCGGCCCCCGCTGCCCAGCACAACGCGCCCCTAAACGCCCCCCGGCTCCCCCGGTCCATAAACCCACGGCCAAGGCGCTCTCCCCTCCGCAGCCCGGGCAGCAGCGGGGCCGCACCCTCAGCCCTCACACACAACCGCCCGCACCCGCCCCGCCGGCCCTTTATACCGCGGGCCGGCAGCGCTGCCCAATCAGCACTCGAGCGCCGCCGCCCAATCCCAGCCCGCCTGGCCCCGCGGCCCCGCCCCGCCCGCTCCGCTCCGGGAGATCGGGAACTGGGGCCGGGAACCTGCTGCTGGGGGAGACACCCTGCACATGGAATTGCACACGGGCACCTGAACCCCGGGCCATTTTCTTGCCTTGGCAAGGCCCTGCGTTGCTCCCAGTCACAGGAAATCTCTGTTTCCCTGCCCATCCCCGGAGACGGGTGGCCCCTAAAATCCCCGGCAATCAGGAAGCACAGGCTGCAGGAGCTGGCGGGACCCAGTGGCCGTGTGTGCTGTGTGACACCGTGTCCTGCAGCCCCACGGACCTGCACAGCAGGGACAGGTCCTGGCAGCGTTTCAGTGCCGAGGCCAAAGCTGGGGCTCAGGGACAGCTGGGGCACATGGCAGCTCTGGGAATCTCTGCCATGGATGTCTGGGCATTCCAGGACTGCCTGCTGGGCAAAGGAGCTTCTCTGCAGACTGTGGAACCAACAGGTCTCATGGACTGTAAGAAGCCAGAAGTGCTGCAGGACTGTAGAGGAATCTGGGTCAGAAGAGACAGTTAAAGGTCTCGAAGTCTGACCTCCTGCTCAGGCCACAGTCACCAATGGGATCGCACCGGGCTGCTCAGGGAGGGATCCAGTCATGTTTGGAAACATTCCACGGATGGGGATACAACAACCTCCCCAGGCAACCCATTCCATGAGCGACTGTCCTGACAAAATACCTTCCCCTCCTCTGCGGTTGGAAGCAACAGCTGGGCTGGCAGGAGCAGAACCTCCCTGCTGGGCCATTCCCCAGCAGCCCAAACGCCCTGTACGGGGCTCGGGGCGGAGGCCTGGGCGGCTCGTTCCTCCAGCTGGGCATTTTAGGAGCTGCCCTTGCCCCGTCACTGCCAAGTCCCTCTGGCAGTGGTGCAGCTCCTCAGCTGGAGTGCCTCTGAGGGACCCCCGGCCACGTTTCCCAGCAGCTGAAGGAAGGGAGGCTCACCCCCCAAGCTGGGCTGCCTTTCTCTCGCTGCCTTTTCCCCACCTTTACACTGCAGGGACAAGAGCTGCACTTTCCCAGGGAACGGGGCAGTGACAGAGGAGAGCAGCAGGCAGGAACCCCCTTCTCTTCTGCAGGCCAATGACTAACTGTGTGTGAAGGGACAGCGATTCTGGTACCAACTCCACCTCCCACTTCTTGTCACAGATCGATCTGAGGCACTTGTCAGGTCAATACCTGCCCTTTTCAGGAGCACCAGGCTTGTGTTCAGTGTCCTCATTGTAGCCCACGAATCCCTCTAGGTGTTAAATCGGCCTCTCTGTCCTGATTCTTCTAATGAAGAATTAGCATTTAATGAGAGATACAAATTATCCTGAGAGTGTCTATGTTACAAGCTCAGTTTGGCAGTGTTGCTATCCTGGAAAGTGTGGAGCAGGGACTGTCATTTCTCCTTATGCTGCTCTTAAACACCATCCCTACATTGCCAGGAGAACTCTGGAGGGAGAGACAGAGAGTTTAAAACACGAAACCTTGGCATCGCAATTGTTATTTCTAAGGATGTGTTTCTATCTGATCCAGTTGTTGGGGCGATTACTCTGGAGAGTGTTTTGTACCTCAGGCAGTAAGTCTGATGGATCAGCCTCCTCGTGAGCAGGAACCAGCACGTTCCCCAAAGGAATGTTCTGTCAGACTCTGTCAAACCCAGCACGGAGGTGAGCAGGAGTGGTGCTTGTGCACAGCTGAAGCGAAGCACACTTGGATTCGAACTGCTCTGGGAGATCTTTGCTGAGATGGGTATTTCTGCCCAGCTTCTTGTGACGTGTTGAATTTCGAGATGAGCTGATAAAGGCAGTGACACTGTTCTGTCATCACTGAGCTTTTGAGGATTTCAAACCCCTTACTCTTAAGTCCAGGGGCTCGTTGCCGGGGGTCCGTGCTCGGGGGTTTGTTCCCGGGGCTCGTTGCCGGGTCCCGCCCGTGCCCGCTGCAGGTCCCGGCCAGTGCCGCCTCTCGCCCGGCAGGCGAGTGGGGAGTGGGGGCCCCGCGGCGGGAGGAGCGAGGTGGGATTGGGGCTGGGATCGGGACCGCTGCGGCCATAGCGGGGCTGGGACCCCCCCAGGGAACGGGACACGGTCCCGCTCGGGCCGGGGGAGCCGGGGCTGTGCCGCGGCACGGCAGAGCGGTGATCCCCGGTGGGCACGGCCGGGACTGCAGCCCCGGGGCGCGACCCA